GGGTATGTCGATCGACGGTGGAGGACCGCAAGCACGAAAAGCGACTGAGGAAGCAACAGACGCGAAAGAAATGTTCGTTTTTCGTTCATACCTGAGTCTAAATGTTTACCCCTCGTCATCTCGAGATATGACGCTAGGCAAGCCATTGACTAGTGAAATTTTCCCCATGTCGAAGAACTCGGAAGAACACTCGCTGAAGAATCGTTGGATATTCAATTGTCTCTCAAATGTTCAAGATCAGCTAGTTAAAATTAACGAGGAAGATTAAAGTGCAAGTGGAAGTTGCATCGATGTAACCGGACATGAAGCAAATGACATTCCGTTTGTGGAACTTTAGAGCTCCCGCTCAAGGTAGGACGACAGTCTGTGCAGCGTCCTCCAAGTTGAACGGAATTCGAAGGAGGTTGATGTGAAAACAAAATAACGACTTCATCAGCGTGTGAAGTTGCCGAATGAATGATCCTCGTGTTTGCCGCAATACGAGTTATTATCTCATAATTAATAATTAATAATCCTCGGTTCTACGCGTTTGAATGCACTTCATACGAGGTCCGTTCGCCTTCCGAGAATTTCTGAACTATGCGATAAGTCGAGGCGAAAGGACGGTACACTTGTTTCACTCCAACTTATCGCGCTAGTTCACGAGTTCCTCGCACGCGAACCTACGGGATCTACAGCGTTTTAATTTTCTCTCAAAACCATAATCTGCGCAGGTGGCTCCTCGTGGAAAGAGGGCGAGGCAGAGAGAGAGAGAGAGAGAGAGAGAGAGAGAGAGAGAGAGAGAGAGAGAGGAGAGAGAGAGAGAGAGAGAGAGAGAGAGAGAGAGAGAGAGAGAGGAGAGAGAGAGAGAGAGAGAGAGAGAGAGAGAGAGAGAGAGAGAGAGAGAGAGAGAGAGAGAGAGAGAGAGAGAGCGTCGGTCTATACCCGACCAAGGGTAGTTTCCGGCTCCCTCCAACGAGTGGTAGAAGGAGGAGGAGGCGCAAGGAGCTCGCTCGCGACAGCTCGGCCGGTGGAGAGAATGAACAAAATAATTCACATGCCGCGGCGTTAAAAGCGCGCCGACGGAACCGGCGCCGCTGTGAAACGCTCATGTGATTTACACCGGGCCGTTCCCGAAGTTCGCGGCACGCCCCCGCCCCGGCTGCGCCGTTCATCTTCGATGTCTAACTACTTCCGCGGAAGCTGCGTACGTAACTAGCGTCGTCAATAATTGCGGCAGCCCGGTATAGCGGCGGTCGTCTACGGGGATCGATATTGCGCTGGCACACCGTTCGGAGCTTGTTAGCGCAACTTTCCTCGTCGCGAGGTGCACGCGTGCGTGCGCGCGTGAGGCGCCGAGGAAAATCTGAGATCTGCAAATTCGCAGTTTTCCGCTCGGCGGGAACGCTCCGCTAGCCGCCGAAAAGTCCCGCTTGATTAAAACGAGAAAACAGCCGTGTTATCTCTCCGCGACCCTCTCGCGGACTTCTCGAGGTGGACTGTTGTCCACCTCGAAAATGTCGTCGTAAAAAAAGAAGAACGGGAGAATGCTCTCCGCGAGAAGATCACACACCTCAATTCTAATCTTTTGTTAACGCGGAATTAATTCTCCTCGCGAACTTGCCGAGAGTCGAGATGTTAATTCTACATTAATCTTCCAAATTGAAAGATCCATCGGAGAATCTCTCTCGGGACGTAACGAATAGATAGCCCCGTTGTGGTCCCCAAACGCACCCACCGATGCCATTTTTCAGACGTACCAATTATTTAACATCTCACGTGTCTCTGCCTCAAATATCTTACCTCACACTTTCCCTCTACCAGTTAAAGCTCAAGTTCGGCGTTTCACAGACACGGAATAGTCTCGCGGGCGAGAAAGCAGTTTTCCCAAAGTTTTTCTCCAATTCGGAGCCGGAGTAGAGAGCGAATATTTCCCGCGAAACCGCGGTGCGACAGCACGAAACGGCTGCGGAAAGGAAGATACGCGCTTTCCCGCGCATCTCTCACGTTGTAAAGAACACGCGAGCGCGCGAGTTGTCGCAGCCGCGCTGCTTCGAGCTTGCGATGTCTGTAACGAATGGAGGAGAGCGGAGCTTCGCGTGCGACTAGAAGGTGCGTAATACTTCAACGTTCAGCTTGATGGAAATCGAGCGGGCCAAGACGGGTGTGTTTCGAACGAACGATGAGAGAGAGAGAGAGAGAGAGAGAGAGAGAGGGGGGGAGGGCGGAATGAACGAGGTGACGAACGCTCGAACGCAGTCGATACGGTCGTGGCTGGCTATCGGGGGTTGAATTGGCGAAAAACCGATTCGGAAGAGCGCAAATCCCTCCGGCTTTATTCGCTCGCGCGCGTCTCGACAAGACCGCTTCGTCGAGTTACGCGGACCGTAATCGCCGAGCGAGACGCTCCGTTGCGGCGCCACCGCATCGCCGGGGTTTCTATTTCGACTCAACTTACTCAATAAGACCTAGAAATTCTTTCAGGATACTCCGGATATTCCAATCTATATACGTAAATACCGCTGAAAGAGTTTAAATCGCGCGGTCGTATACATGTGATTACCGCGCGAGAGACGCGCGAATCGAGGATTTCCTGTCGGCCGCAGGCTCGTCGAAGCTCAATTTTTAACAATATGATCGATAACACGGCCCGCAGGAGTCGTCAGTCATTGGATATTATCGTGAGTAATTTTAAATTAGGAAAGACGGATAATGTTTGCGGTAAATATTCACATACCGCTAAATATTCTGTCGGAATATTCTCGCAACGCACGCGGTGAATTCTGAATTATTAACATCACGAGGCTATCCCTTCCTAATGATTCCTCTGACGAGTTGCGATAAACACTCTCTGAGCCAGAAATCGATCCTGCCGGCTTTTAACTGTATTTAAATCCCCGCAATTCGAAACCGTCGGAATAGCTCGGATTCGAACAGCGGGGGAACCGATTCGATTTGAATGACCGGATAGTTTGCACATCTCGGATAATCACGCGATTGCTACGAGCACGAGTACAGTCAGTTGAGGCGTTTCCCAACGAGAGAGACTCGCTCCTAATAATCCTCGCTCCTAATGTCCGCGCGAGCGAGCAACAAGAAGGACGGGAAGGAAAAAGGTCCCGTGACGGCGGGAGCGACCGGCAGCGCCGTCCCGGAAGTCTGTTTTCTTGGGATAAATTTCAGACGCGCGATGCGCCAGTTAAACGGGGCAACATGGCAATGCACTCAGGGTAATGCTCAATTTTTAAACCCGGCCGAAACTCCTCCGTTATTACCGCACGATTGAGACGCGCCACCAGCGCGACGTATAAATCATGCAAGTCGCGCGAGGCGGAATTTACGTTCGCGAGCGCGTCGCGCGGCCGGCGCGGCGGATCGATGTTTTTCGAGGTCTGAGGCCTCGGGAAAAGCCGAAACGCCTCTCTTGTTGCGTTCCAATCGGCCCACGCGGTTATGCGACTTTTTTCCGCGTCGCGGCATCCGCCTTTAGCCCTTAAAGGGAGAATTACATGTGGAGCAGGCCGTTTTCAAGGCTATTTTTACGAATTTTTTCAACAGAAACGGTAGGATCAACGAACTTGAAATTTTCCCAATGTATTCATTAATGTTCAAAGTATAAAATAAATTTGTTACTATCGATATGGAAAGTACACATAAAACTTTAAACGCGTTTATTTGAAAACTCATTTTCTTAAACTGTCGACACGATCACGCAAAAACTACTGAACCGAATAACTTGAAATTTTTACACAATATACAGTAGAAATGTAGTTCTCGCCCTTACCTCGAATAGTTATACTTTATTTTATTCATTTTTTTAAACATGATTACAAGTTGAAAAAACGAAAGTTTCATTTTCGATACTTCTTTTTTGCACAGTCATTATTTCTCCAAGCTTGGCTTGACTGCCCTCATTTTGATACGGGCTATAATGGTAACAGTATATTTTGAAAATCTTTGTCATTTTTTTGGTTTTAGAGTAGTGAGAGCACCGGAATTATGTCGACAATAAACATAGAACTCGCAAACGGATGACTGCAGTTTTATCTATAATTACAAATTGGACCGGTTCTTGTGTGATTCAATAAAATTTATTTTACACTTTGAACATTAATGAATACACTGTGTGAAAATTTCAAGTCCATTAATTTTACCGTTCCTGTTAAAAAAAACGTAAAAATAGCCTTGAAAACGGTTTTCCGCATGTAATTCCCCCTTAAAAGCTACCATCAAATATCACCCCAATCTAACTTTCCTCGTTATTGTTTACAGCAAAATATATGCAAGAATTGATCTGTTTTATCATAATGTCGCTACTGATAGTATGAATAAATATCTATAAAATTGGTATTGTCAAGATGGTTACGCTTTTTAAAACGATGAAGAATTCGCTTGGAATGAGATTTCACCCATGGTAACTTTTAAAGGTATACGCATGCCAATTATTCCGCCATTCCTGTGTTATCGTCCTCTCACAATTTTGGGAAGAGCGGATTTTGTAATCGAGGAACATACATCGGTGTTCCGCCTTCATGCGCCACTTGCATTCTCCGGGATCGAAGGAGCTGCTATTCTTAAAGAATCATCGAAAGAATGATGTTTCGATGTTTCTGGAATCGTTTCTACCAAGAAGTTATTTTTGCGAACTGAAGGTGACCGTTGAATGAGTCTGCACCACCTTTATAGCGGGACAAGCTAATTGCGTGTCGGTTAAACTAACGTTCGCTTTGCTCGTGTTATCGCGTTAATGCGATCGATCTTTCTTCTTCGCGTGCGGTGAAGGTGATCGAGGAAGAATCTCACGCGAGAAAGAGAGAGAGAGAGAGAGAGAGAGAGAGAGAGAGAGAGAGAAAGAGAGAAATAGCAGCGATATCCTTTCCAGCGCAACGAACATTCCTCGCCGCGAATTATCTTTTCCATCTCTCGCTTGTTAATAAGCATTTGAGCCGCAGCGTGAAACCGATTCCACGGCGGCCCAAACGCCGAACAACCCTCCCGACTCTCCGCGAACTCTCCCCTACCTTGACCTCGCGCGCCGGCGAGTTGGCCTCTCGCTGCTCCGGCCGCCACTTCTGGCTTCCCCCGTCGTCCGTCCGGTTCCTCACGAGACCGTTCAGACTGCGGTAGGACAACAGCCGACACATGTCGCTGGTGAGATCGGGCAGGCGATTTCTGCAATCGCCGCAGTGGAACTTTTGCTGCGGCATCGCGCGCACGCACAGCACACGCACACACACACACACCCGCGTATCTTGTCTCCTTCTCTCAGCTCGCGGCCGCTTCGTCCTCGGGCGAGCACCGAGCGACCTTTGTCATTTTCCCGGACGATCGGCCGGGGGATACGCCGCGGGATTGTCTCGGATCAAGCGGGATACTCGACGCCGCGCCGCCACGGACGATACATCGTCATGAATCCGCGCGGATCACCGTTGCGATTTCGATTCGTTGCAGGTCCGACCGCACTGCGCACGAGTTACTTCGTCGCGTCGTCGCGAGCGATGTGACGCGCGGTGCGCTTATATTTACGCGGAGAATCCTCGCGGCACAACGGCGCAACGTACGTGCGTGAATTCTTCAAGCGGTGCCCCAAATATACTGATCGAGTGCGAAGCAATCTCGGCGAGCTGAAGAATGGACCGAGCGATTCTGTGAAAAACGACTCTTCCGTTCCGTCGAGCAATCGTTGAAAAGCATCAGTCCACCATTCCCGTCGGTATATTATGCATCTACATGTCTGCGAGAACTGCCGCAAGGGTCGGTTATCATCGAGACTTATGCACTAGCCGATATTTCTCCGCGAAAGTATTCTCCGTCGCGCCATCGACGGCGAGTATGCAGCAAGACCGGTTCCAACTCGGGAGTCCTGAGAGGATAACGGGAGGTTCACGGTGCGGGCCGGCAGCGATTCCAAGATGCTCCGATAGCGGTTCTTTAGCGATCCGATAGTAGTTTAATGTAATTCGTTACCGGCTCGATGATGCTTATTAACGAAGCAGCATCATCAAGCACCACCCGACGATCGCGATGAACCATCGTCGACTCCGTCTCGCTCGTGGCGTCGAGAACTCCCGAGTTAAAATCGGTCTCAGGGTCGTTGCGGAAAAACGCGAGGCTCGATATCGGCCATCGCGCTTCAGAATCTGCGCATAATTGTCGCACAAACGGTCTCACGCTTGCCGAATGCTATTTCAATCGCGATCGGTCATGCATTCGTAACAGAGGCGCGACGATCGATGACCGGCGGATAAAATAACGCGACCGAGCATGGGGGAGGGTAGAATTCAGCGGGTGGAAAAAGAGTTCGATGACGTTAACGAGAATGTGCCTCCTCCCTTCGCAGGGGGCGGGGGTGAGACGCGGGGCGCGCAATTGGGACAATTGACATCAGAGAGAGAGAGAGAGAAAGAAAGAGAGCTCTGTTCTTCGACATCGTCTCGTGGAGATCGCCTTTGCGACCACTTTCCGCTTCGTCCGCGGTCCGGTATTTGCCCCGAGGGGGAGGGTCGCCGCTTTTTGCTCGCCCCTTCACCTTAAACATTTACGCTGAATGGAATCTCGAGAACCCTGGTCGGCGCGCAAACGCGACGCGCGATCGCTTTAATAAGCGCGAGCGAATTGTTTTGAATGAAAAGCCGAGAAGGCGAATCGTGGCTGCGTTCATAGAGCGATGATACTCGAGCGATTTTTAGAGTCACGCCTAGAGAGGTGTCTTTATTCGCGGATTAGCGCTGCTGATTTCGCTCGCGACAATACGATTCACGTCGATACTGCGAGTCTCCGAGACTGCGCACGCGCGCTGGAAACTGCGAAATTTACTCTAAAATGCTCACACCTGCCGACTCTCACGCATTTTGTGCGTGAATATGTTCGTGAACGATACACTCACGCTCTTTGACGCATTGCGTGTCAAGCCGACTCTACCGACGGTATTTCTTCCGCGGCCGCGCGAGTTTTCTCTTCATCGTTGCTTTTACCTTTGAACGTCATTTTATGGGGATTATTTCGTCACTTGCGACATCGAGTCTTGTGAAATAGATTTTTCTGGACGGATCATCGGGATCGAACTATATTAACTATATAACTATATAACTGTATAACTGTATGTTCGTTCACAACGTTCAATACGTTAGAGTTGGTACTTCGAGTAATTCCGCACGTCTCTGCTCGAAAAATATCCGGTTTTGCTTTAAGGGGTGAGAGGCGGAGGGTCTTATTTGATTTGTTCCTTCCTGCAAATATCGGCGCGAAATCGTGACGGTTTCGGAAACGCGGCGCAAGTATGTCCGTCGGAATGAGTTCATTTGTCTTCGCGTCGGTTGAAACCCGCGACGAGGCGACGGGCGAGAGTCGATCGACGGATGACCCGCGGAAAAAAATGATGAAAAATTCGCGTCGGTTTTTCCAGGAGGGTTCACCGTTCCCGTTCGTCCGTTCACTTGCTTGTTCTCGCTTGTCCGTCCGCGAGGAACGTCGTGAAAAATCGCGTGCGATGATCCACGGACGACTGAAGGGGGAGAAAGAGAGAGAGAGAGAGAGAGAGAGAGCTGCGGCCGCTAGTCCGGCACTGAGAAACGTTTAAAAATATCCGGGAACACGTGAACGAGGTCATTTCAGGAAGACAAGGCGAGGTCTTCGGAAGGTTGGAATTTACATAAACGAGGTCGAGAGGATGACTAACTCGCTCTCCGGTCGCGCGCGGGAGGTTTCCGATATTAAAGACGACGTCGGCGCTCATCGATGCTTCTTTTCTCTTTTCTCTCCCTCCCTTTCTCTCTCTCTCTCTCTCTCTCTCTTTCTCTCTCTCTCTCTCTCTCTCTCTCTCTCTTTCTTTCTGCTCTCGTTCCGATTTCGATACATTGTATTCGGATCCAGGACAAACGCGGATCTTACGTACAAGAGAGCTGCAGAGATATTGAACGAACGAACGGACGGACGGCTGATCTGATAACGAGACATCGAGATGTAACCTTTCCGTTCGGCGACATATAATTTTTCAGTATTACGTGGAGGGAATATTATGAGCTTCCCTTGTCATACAAATTCCCCTCGGTCTGATCATGCTTTCCGATAACGCAGAAATAAACCGTCGGCCGAGTTTATCTCGCTAAAGGAAAGAGTAATTTTTTTTAACAAGATAACAGATAAGCCAAAGCACGAGCTTTCCCCGGGTTATGAAATTTGAGAGCAATTTTTAAAAATTCTTTCCGTGCACGAATAATAAATTTTTCCCTTTGTCCGTCAGCTGTCAGCGAGTCAGAAGCTTGACGATTTCGCTGCGATTCTCCATGGTTCTCCATGGTGTTTTTTTCTTCCTTTTGCACACATACACGTACGCTGCGAGTAACATATTCTTCATTAGAGCGCAACGAGAAGAATAGCGATCCGGGCGGCGGTGTAATCCGTAGAAATGCTTCCGCGTAGATATTTTATTCCCTGTATATACGGCGCGCGATTATTTTTAGCCGGCCAGCCAGCCAGCGGCGAGCTGCTCGTTACACGTACGAGACTGAAATTGTTCCCAGTCGCAACGAGACGCGTCTAACTTTTTCAAATTGGATTCTGCGAGGCCAGTTACTTGCCTTTATTTCCCCAAATGCACCACGTTGCGCCGTATTAGCGCTTTACATTTCATTTTCCGCCGGCTCCCACGTCCACCGGAAATGGATTCAGCTTGTACGCACGCGGATTACGCGGCTCGTGAATTATTTTCTCGCCGCGGTGTTTGCCGAAGAATTATCGCCGGGACGCGATAAATCCCGCGAAATACCTCCGACTGTTCTCCCCTCCCTCCCCCCTCCGCTCCTTGTTCCTTCTCGCTTCTCGAATTTGCCTCACGCGCTGATTTAACGGCGGATAATTGCTTGTCGTTATGCGCGCGATACGACCGAAGCGCAATCTCGAATGGCTCGTTTTACAGGCGACGAAGGCACGAATAAAAATGCGATAAACATCAACGCGCAACGGGACGGGATGGAGCAAAGGGCCGCAAAATGCGGGTTCGAGGGCCTTTAAAAAAAATTATCGCCGCGCGGGACAGGCGCGCGATAGCGCGGTAAATTTACCGCGTCTTCGCTTATGGCGCGCGTAAAACGCGCCGGCTCGTCGGTGCGCGAATAAACGACTCGAAATGAAAAAGTCGCGCGGAATTAACGCGACCCTCGTGACTAACGGCTCCGTGTCGTGGAGTAAGCGAGCGATCAGTTCTCATCAAATTTTTCATATCGACCCGACGACCAGACGAGACGTTGATAGCGTTCGGGGACGCGAATAGCGACTCTTCCCTCTTATTCGAGCCATGTATGTGGAACTTGAATAAGATTTATCTTGTGACAGACAATATTCACCGAAACCGCAGACGTTTCTATAAAATTCTATAAAATTTGCAGTGTTTCGTAGAAATAAATTTTTGCAAACAAATAAAATGGGGCTCGGTGCTCGCTCCAGCACCTCGCGCGCTGCTTGGAATGTAAATCTGTCCTCGATAACGTTTTTTTCGTTGCTAACGACATATACGCGCACTCGCTCTTTCTCTTTCTCCGGCGAAAACTCCCCACGTTCGTCACGTCGTCGACGTTAACGCCGCGCGCGTAAAACGTCTCTCTATTCTCATACAAATTCCATTTCGCGACCGACCTCTAATCACTATATCTGGATCTCCGTGTCTTCGTTTCAAAGATGCGCGTCGCGCGACGAAACGCGACACGGAATTACGCGGCCTCGGCTCCTCCTCATCGACGGTGCGCCGTGCCGTTGGCGCAGGATATAAAGGATAATCCAATTTCGGAGGCTTTCTAGCCGTGATAGCGTCGGGAAAAGAAAAGGGTGAGCTCATAAAGTTCGGACCCACGGGAGCGCAATACACCGGCAGACAATAACGGAGAGGAGGAAGAAGGAGTGGAAGAAGAAGAAGAAGAAGAAGAAGAAGAAGAAGAAGAAGAAGAAGAAAGCGGAGGCAGAGGAGAAAGAGAGAGAGAGAGAGCGAAGATTTTACGGGAAATTACGGATGTAACGCGCGTAGCACGCTCTGTCTCGCTCGCTCTCCATTTCTCTCGCCTATCTTCCCTAACGATCCTAATTACTTCGCTTATATCGATACTCCCTAGATCATCGCCGAAGGATCGGCGAAGAAGCAACTTCCGTTTTCGACGAAGCTCGTTCGTCTATCTTTGCGCGCGGTTCGTATCGACTAGTGCAATGAATAAATCGGTTTTAACGAATTTGCCGACATTATACAGGGTGAGCCGTGTAAAACGCATGAATGTTTTAAAAAATATCGATGGCGGAACGAAATTTCACGAGAACGAGTTGTATTACTTTAATGTGTCACGCTTTTTTACGCACCTATCTATTTTCCCCACGAAAATACATCAGAGACAAATGTTTAAAAATATATTGTCCCATTAAAAAAAAAGAAATTCCAATATCTTTGATCATGCGGAGAAAAATTAACGTATCCGTAAAGGTGCGACGCTGATAGTTAAATTTTGCCTGACAATTATATATTCTTTTCGGCCGCCGATATCTTTAGAAATGTTCATCCGTCGCGCTTCTTTACGCGCCTTATCCTGCACATCTGTGTGTACACTCATCTGTGTATATTTAATACAGAACCGTATATTTTTTAATATACAGCGCAATATATATTTTTATATTTTTCTAAATATATCAAACCGTATGTTTTTTCAACGCATGACGAGATAACGCGAGCACTCCCACGCCAATGTATTGTTCAAATATAATTTGCATCTCTAAATCAGGACACGCGCGTGTGAATCTTCGTCGCGCGTTTGAAGCCGAGGAATCGCGGCTGCACCTCACCAGCCGGCAGATTCCGTTCGCTAAAGGACGAGACGCGTCAAGGGAACGAAATTCCGTGTGCGACGGACGCAATTAAAGACGTCGGTACAAGATAATCCGGGAAATTACAAATTCGTTCGGCCGTCTCTCCCCGTCCTTTGGGACAATCCTAATTAACTCGGCTACCGCGTCCAGAGGTTGGATACCTTCGTGCACCGGCTCACGAAAACGCGCTTGACGATCTAGTTAGTTCGACCCGGAAATTTGGTGCTGTCCTCAACGGGACCGACCGACGTAACGCAGCTGCCGAGGGTGCAATTTGAATAGGATGGCTTTCAAGTGCTTTCCGAGGCAGAAGCGTCAACTAAAAATCTGATGCACGCGCGACGTCTCGTAAATTGAAGTATTTGCGATGAGCGATTCACCGAAAAAGAGAAAAGGAGAGAGAAAGAGAGAGAGAGAGAGAGAGAGAGGGGGGGGGGGAGGGAGGAGGGAGAGATTACGTTAACTCCTCTTACAGAAGAGCCACCGGTCGAATTTTTTAATCCTTTGAGTTTCCCGGCGCATTTTTCAAGATACCGCATAGAATATCTCTAAAACTGAAAGTACCTCATTTTTTGGTAATAAAACTTTTTCAATTTTTTCTCCTGCCGACGCTACTTTCTAAATAAAACTGGACAAAAACCTGATAAAAAATTACACCAAATTTTCAGGATGAAAGAACCGGGACTCAAAGGGTCGACTAATTTCTCTTCATCATGTGAGAGATTTGCGAACGATTTACGGATTTTGTTCGCTACTGTTGATTCTCGGACATATTCACGGTTGATCCTCGATCCTCGCAGAATCCGGATCGTGCAGAGCGAGGCGAATCTTACTTTGGGAAGCGACAAGATCGCGAGGTTACTTGGAGGCGAGCGTACCGTCTCGACAATGATCGATTATAAATACCCACCGCCCACGGCTGGTTACGCTAAGAGAAAACGATCGCGCGATCCGAACAGCGACTGCCGCTAATGAGAACAAGAAACGTGGAAAGGGAGTCGTCGCGCGAACCGGGTAACGTCCGCGGTACTAATGAGTTCTTGTTTGGCG